ATAAATAAATAAATAAATAAATAAATCTACCACAGGATTAGATTTATTTAAATCATGGGTGTTAAATTAATGGTGCTGTTTCTTGATTCAAATCATTTCAAGGAAATCTCTTTGTCCTTTTCTTTTTAATTTGTCTATACAAGTCATATCATGCATAACTAGAAATTCTGAAAGTATCATGGAAATCCAGTATGAAAAAAAGAGTTACTTTTTCCTACTGAAATATAAAATAAAATATTACATACTGTTGATATTTTATGTTTTAAAGATAGACCAGAAGTCTCTGTCTGGATAGTCTGCAGATCAGATCTGATGCTATTGGCTCGCAACAACAATACAGAAAATATACATTGTTTTGCTTTCAGAAGCTGGTAAATTTAAACTTATCCGCAGCTTTGATAGAGTTGGAAGAAGATTTAGAAAGATGGTATTAAATTCCCTTAATATAAATGTGATTAAAATGAATGTAACTCCAACGATGATTTAATTGTTTAGGAGCTTTCCTATATTCATTCCATCACATTATTTTAACAAACGGACAGGGTACTGAATACATTTTTTTGCAAGGACATCCCATGAAATTTTCATTGTATAAATCACAATTACCCATTTAAAGAGTGGATTTAATTTCTCACATGTTCAGGTTTGTCACTGGGCAATTATACTAGCTTTAGTCACTTCAGAACTCACCCCTTCTTTCAATTTAACGAAATGATTATCTGATCTCACTGAAGTACTGGAATTCCTGTTTGTGGGAAGGTAAATATTGTCCCTGAAATAGTGTGGCAACACATCTATGAGAAGTATTGAATCAGAAATGTAATTTTGATCCATGTCCCATGAAAAGATTACAATATAAAATAATCCCAGTTTAAAAATGCCATCCGTATCTGTGTGTAGATATATAAACTGGGTCTATCATAATACTTTTACTTTACATCAATTTAGTTCTCTGGAAGCAAAGAAGTTTTAAAAATGAGCTTGATTTACTACCAACTGCTTCCTGGAAGGATTTTCAGCTTAAGCATCTAATATTTTGTTTCTTTGGTCCAGCTTCAACTGCTTCTTCTGAAGTTCATTCGTTTATTTATTTGTACTACCACCCTCCACAAGGATCTATTGCATGTTCCACAGTATTTAGATGTTTTAGAGAAACTGTCTGTGACCATAAAGTCAGTAATCTGCCTTTCGAGGGATATGATGAAAGATGATATAATTGCTATTAGTCATTTACACAATCATAGGAGTAATGAACTTGAAAGTTCTGTACTGGAAAACCAACGGAGAATTGTATTAAAAACAATTTGACATGAATTTTGCATGAACATAAAATGACTTTATGATCAAACAAAAAACCTGCTTCAGTTAGATTGCAATCACCCTGCTGGAGATGCTTTGGTTTTGTCCCATGATCCTTGCATTTCAGCTGACATCGACAGGACTGTCAATATTTTTCTGGATCAGTCTCTGGAAGATATATGTGTATGGTTTGTTTTTTTTTACATCCCTAATACTTATATTTATCAAAATATAAATTGTGAATTTTCCAAGTATGTGGATTGGCTGCAGCATTTTTGAACACAGGAAAGTGAAATTAATTTGCAGCCGTGTATTTTAAGTGTGTGTGTGTGTGTGTGTGTGTGTGTGTGTGCGTGCGTGCTTAACATTTGAATTAGTCTTTTTCGATAATAGGGCATGGAGGGAGACTTCACCAATTTAGTCAACGTTTTTGAACTGTTCTATTTATAACAAATAATTATATACTTGTTTGCAATAAAATCTATCAAATAAATAGATTGGGAGGCTTTTGAACAAACATGAAATAGATTCAAGTTATGTCATGTGTGCTTATCTATAGAGGAAATAGTCACCCCTGTGTAAATTGTATGTAAGTAAACAGGATTTTGTAAGACCATTGAGTCCAGTGCCTAGAATACATTTCTCCTGCCTGACTCTCCTTCTCCAAAGACTCTCAGCTTTGCTGTCACCCAACAAAGGCAAAGGGCATCAGGACAGTGAAGGATGAGTTAGAATTACATAGCTATATCTATAACAATCAGCATTCCCAGCTACTGATTTTTTCTAAATCCCTTACAACATAGGGCACTTAAGGAAAGCATGCACAAAGAGGAATTCTGGGAGTTGAAGTCCACAAGTCATAAAAGGGCCAGGTTTGAAGACCCCTGGCTTGGAATAACACCATAAAGATCAGTAACCTTGGTTGCAGGTTCACTCACAGCCATAGTGCATATATTGTATCAGCTTCTCATGGGCAAAAGGTATGCATAAATTTGCACTCACATCAGCTCCTGGTATTCCTGGCAATCCAGGGACACCTGGTTTTCCAGCATCACCATCTGGACCCTGTAGGAGTGAATTGGATACCAACGAAGTAAGTTAGCAAATAAAAACAGATATTTTATTTAAAGACGGTATTTTAAAAATGCTACCTGTTCTCAGTTACTTACTGGACGACCTGGGGGGCCATTAGCACCTCTGTCTCCCTAATGGGATAAAGGAGAGTCACAGTCAAGTGAAATTCATTTTAACATAATAGCACTTATAATTCTACCTGTACATTGTATATGTATTATGCAGATATGATAAATAGCCCTGTACGCACACACAGGCACATTATATGGAGGAATTCTGATGGCCAGTAGACAGAATTGCTATAAAGCTAATCAAATGGAATTTGCAGATTATAAATACTAATCTTATAGAATCCCTAATGCAAATTACCGATTATATGATGGACCTGATCCAGCTGCAGAAAATAATTTGTTCTAGTTCACACCACCAGTTCTAGTTCTTTGGGGCTAAAGAATGCACCTCCTAAGTTCCCAGTCCAATCAGCACAACAGTTCTAATACCAGTTAACAGGTCATGACAGAGTTGTGCCCGAGTGTGTTGCATGCTGAATACACTCAGAGAGAGACAGCAGTGTCATTGTATAATACTGGGGAGGAATGTCTTGAATGCTCCCTGCCACACACAGGACAAGCTATACTTACATCTATGCCATCAATGCCAGGAACACCTGGGGAGCCTGGGGGGCCAGGGGGGCCTTCTGGACCTGGAGGGCCTCTCTGGCAAGGAATAAAAAAAAATGTTTATAGTGCAGTAGGAAGAAGAAGCAACTCAAACCATCCTATAAAAAGGGGAAGGAGCAATTGAGAACCACGAAGAAGATAGTCTGACTAACTTAATCAAATTCAGTTTGCTTGATTGGGTAATAGGCTCCTGTTCTAATCTGCGTGAGAGTAATTCATGACGAATATGTGTAATTATAATCCAAGTTGTACAGATTGACAAATGGTGTGTGGGGATAGATGTGCATGCATATATATGCTCTTGTTAGTGGAGGTGAGCAGAGACAGAATTCATGCCTATGCCTACAGTAAATCTCAAAAGAAGTGCTTTTTTCTTCAAAAGGCAACTGGACTGTTTTTTTCCTAGAGGAGGAAGACGAAAAGGTTTTGCTTCTCATTCAAGAAGCTTCATCAGTTCTGAAGGCGGGGTGAAGCTTCTGAAACTGATGAAGCTTCTTGGATAGGAAGCAAAATGTTTTCTTCTTCCTCAAGGAAAGAACAGTCTACTTGCCTTTTGAAGAAAAAACCACCTTTGGGACAACTATGATCTGGATGACCGAGAATCTCCATCTACAGTAAATCCTTATGGAAAGCACCCCTTAAGGCAGTGGTGGCGAACCTATGGCACACGTGCCAGAGGCGGCACTCAGAGCCCTCTCTGTGGGCATGCGTGCCGTCGCCCCAGCCTCGCCTCCCCCCATGGCCTCTCCTCACCAGCAGCTCCCCCAGAGGAGAGTCACCTCTGAGCATGGCCCACACGGAGCACCGCAGCCAAGGACATGGCAGCCAGGCAGCAGGGACAAGACTCCACCCTCGCAACCCATTGCGCATAGTTGATGCTGCGGGGTGTGGGCAGAGGGCGTGGCCATCATGGCGTTACTGGGCTGCCTGGGCGATCTGGCAGGCAGGCCGTGGAGGCAGTGAGTGGCCCTGCAGGCTGGCAGAGGCAGAACGGGGGTGGCCGGGGCGGGCGAAGTGGGGGCAGGAGCGGTTTTTGGGCACTCAGTCTCTAAAAGGTTTGCTATCACTGCTTTAAGGCAATAACTAGGAATGAAAAGGAAAGGATTATTATGCTTTATATTTTCATTTCATTATAAACAGGAAAAGACTGGCCCTGTGATAAAATGGAATAAAATAATGTCCTGTGAATTAAAATTGTGCCCCATTGACTTCACTCCCTTGTAAAATGGGAAATCAGTTTGGGATAGAGAAAATAAAATGATAACTGCACAAATGAGTTTAAGCGAAATTGCCATTACTGTATAGCTAATATTAGCTGTACAGCTAATATTCAGACTTATCTTCTGAGACATATACATAAATAAGAAATTCATTATATACACATATCATAGCCCTTAATAAAACCTTATCTTTTGTTTGTTTGTTGTTTATTTGTTTGTTTCTATTTTTGTAAGTCCCAAGAGGCTTTGAAAATTCCAAACTATTCATTTTTAAAAAATAATTTAGGGGAGGGAATTCAAGGCCTATAAGACACATTGTTTTCTTTTGGTGATGAAATTCTAACTTCACAGTAGATGCTCTGTGATTTTCTAACAGGCCCCTTTTTGTACCTCACACTTTTCATAGAGAAGGTAAATAGCTGAGAGGAAAAGCAGTTTTCCTATAAATTTCAGAGTGTGACAATTCCAGCTTTAGCCAGAGTTCTCACAACCAGTAGTTTAAAAGGTATTTTTAATTCAGACATTACACAGAAGAGTCGTTATTGTTGTTTGCAAAGTAAACTGCTTCATGTCACAATCGACCATAAGGCTGCATTGTACACATTCGTTTTCTTGTAAAAAACATAGGTGGATTTTTTTTCTTTCTAATGTCTAGCAAAGCTAGCTTGAGTCTATACAAATAAAAGTCATGACAAATCTGTTGGATTTGCTCACTGTGCTTCAAAAGATTTAACATTTCATTTTGGAGAAATGCATTGTTACGCATTAATATTTTTAAGTAAACTCTCAGCTGATTTTCTGTCATTCTTTGAAAATGGTTAAAAAAATGAGAGCTTTTCATCTATTTTTAATGTAAGCTCATAAAAGAAAGCATATATAATATGCAATTCTGCTTTACAGTGTGTCAGTCACTAGAGAATTCTTCCACAAAACAATGAATGACTGTTATTAGGAAACATATCATCTTTTCAGGATCCTCAAATAAGTGAGCTGAGTGATATTCACAGAAAAGAAATTTTCCTGTTCTGTATTTCCCACAGCAAAGTCCCCTATTCCACATTCAATTTTCTTCCATTTATTTATCTTGGTACTATTAACAACAAGAAAAAAGTCAAGGAAACTGTAGGTCCACTAAAGAGAAAAGCTGGCAAGAAAATAACAGGCAACAGGGAGAAAGCAGAGCTACTTAACTCATACTTTACATCAGTCTTCACACAAAAAGAAACCATAGCCCAACATACTGCAAAAGATATACTAGAAACAAAAATTAAAATAAACAAGAAAATGTTAAGAGAACACCTATCCAACCTTGACGAATATAAATCACCGGGACCCGACAGACTACAGACTACCGCCTCCAGAAGCGGTGAATGCTCCAACACTGGAAGTTTTTAAGAAGAGACTGGACAGCCATTTGTCCGAAATGGTGTAGGGTTTCCTGCCTGAGCAAGGGGTTGGACTTGATGACCTCCAAGGTCCCTTCCAACTATTATTATTATTATTATGGATCATCGCACAGTCAGCCAGATGTTCAGACTGGATTTGGCATTTTGTCTACCTATCGAGGCCTTACCCAGGACCTGGGATAGGCAGATGTGGATGTTTGATGGTATTACAGATATCATCGCAGGATGGAAGCAGTTCCTAGTAAGGCCGCCTTTTGCAATTGACTAATAGCAAATTTGTCAATGCCAATGGTGTTCAAGTGGTGCTCCAGTTGTTTTGGGATTGCACCCAAGGCGCCTATTACTATTGGTACTACCTTTGCTTGCTTTTGCCACAGTCTTTCTATTTCTATTTGTAGGTCTCTGTATTTTGTTATC